TGATAAATCGGGCCAAACATACGGTGTCCACCTCTTCGCTGATGGCCGCCCCATACGGGTCCACGCAATTGCATTTGCGACCTTCGCTCGAGCACTGGTAGGCCTGGAAATTGCCCGATGGATCGCACGCCAAGTTATTATAGGAGGTGCCCTGTTTGGAGAGGTATCCCTGCAGAGCGCACATGCACTCCATGTCCGTAGCCTTGGCTAAGTCCAAACGATAATTGTCGGCGAGTCCGGCGGTGTCCGGCTTCACACACATACACACGGCTATCAATTGGTGGCAAATTATACGGCAATGTATTAGAAATCAAATAATTGAAATGCATTGAAAGTGAAGGGATTGCATAAGTTATCCTGAATTACGGATTATAATGGATTATAAGTGACATACTGTCGGTGCACTGTTTGAGGGCGTATTTGCCATCCGGAGAACAGACCACTTCCTTCATATTCTTCAGTTCTGTGCCCTTCTTCTTGAACTCCAAGGATAGGGCTTCGGGTCGACGCAATTGCTTCTCACATGGGTTTAGATAATTAGCGTCCGATTCCTTTGTATTTACTTTTTTTGCTTTTTCCAAATCAACTGAAAGTTTGATCAAAATTATTGCAATTAATGATAAATCGGGCCAAACATACGGTGTCCACCTCTTCGCTGATGGCCGCCCCATACGGGTCCACGCAATTGCATTTGCGACCTTCGCTCGAGCACTGGTAGGCCTGGAAATTGCCCGATGGATCGCAGGCCAAGTTATTATAGGAGGTGCCCTGTTTGGAGAGGTATCCCTGCAGAGCGCACATGCACTCCATGTCCGTAGCCTTGGCTAAGTCCAAACGATAATTGTCGGCCAGTCCGGCGGTGTCCGGCTTCACACACATACACACGGCTATCAATTGGTGGCAAATTATACGGCAATGTATTAGAAATCAAATAATCGAAATGCATTGAAAGTGAAGGGATTGCATAAGTTATGCTGAATTACGGATTATAATGGCTTATAAGTGACATACTGTCGGTGCACTGTTTGAGGGCGTATTTGCCATCAGGAGAACAGACCACTTCCTTCATATTCTTCAGTTCTGTGCCCTTCTTCTTGAACTCCAAGGATAGGGCTTCGGGTCGACGCAATTGCTTCTCACATGGGTTTAGATAATTAGCGTCCGATTCCTTTGTATTTACTTTTTTTGCTTTTTCCAAATCAACTGAAAGTTTGATCAAAATTATTGCAATTAATATTTTACTGTTAACTCTTTTAACACAAAATGTCTATTCCTACACATTAATTGTCTCTTTAAATGAAAATTATGATCAATTATCTGTAACTAATATCTGATTCCGCCTCACATTAGTATGTATTTTATATTTTTACACAACATATACAGTACAGTATAAATGTAAAGTGTACTTTATATACAAATGGTACTTACAACATGGTAAAGTCTGAAGTGCACCATATAGAGCTGCCTTATCGGGTGTGGGGCGACCGGTGGCCTCATCCACACAAAAACAGGTGCCATTAATGCACTGTAAGGGCTCAAAATTGCCGGTACCGCTGCACTTGGGGCTGATCTGCGCAAATCGCTCCAGATTTAGCTGATCCACTTCATCGGCGCACGCGTTACTGTCGGGCGATTTGTGACACGAGCACTTACCTGTGTCCTCATCCCGACGGCACGCCTTTGACGGTATGGTAGAGTAGGTCTGATAGAAATGGTCGGCACACTTACACGTCACGTTTGACGCGTCCTCTAATAATGACAGACCAAACGTAAACTTGCCGTCCAATGGATTCACGCAATAACATCTAATATGAGATTAATTATGGCATCAAATGATAATCAAATATTCTTCAATATGTTTTAACAAGTGCTTTCTTAGATCTCTCTCTCTCTCTCTCTCTCTCTCTCTCT